CCTTGCTGAAGAGCTCCTTGGCCCATATTCCTCATTCCTCCAGCCATACCCATTCCTTGCTGAAGAGCTCCTTGGCCCATATTCCTCATTCCTCCGGCCATACCCATTCCTTGCTGAAGAGCTCCTTGGCCCATATTTCTCATTCCTCCTGCCATATTCATGCCTTGTTGGAATGCTCCCTGGCCCATATTTCGCAGACCTCCAGCCATACCCATTCCTTGCTGAAGAGCTCCTTGGCCCATACCCTGCAATTGTCCGCCAAGGCCTTTGGCCTGATTAAATGCACCCATTCCAGCTCCTAAAATGCATACACAGTATTAGTATATAAACACTCCTTTCTACCACCTCTTTCTCTCTTACTCCGACGAAGGAATAGCGTCCGAAACGTCAGTAATTTTTTTCATTTTTTCATCTTTTCACGTGTATAATTTACCTTTTTATCATTACTGTTTCATTAGAAACACCGACGCAGTTCACACTAGTTTTTAGTTAGTTATCTCTCAATATTAGTATCGTTCTGGATGTGTATTGAATAAGCATTAGTATTCTAACCTATGAAACAAAGTCAATCAGCTGTATCTTGCTAGCAGCCCAAATTTTAATGTCAATGACACAATTACCTAATAGGTTCTGATCGGCTGGTATGATAACTCCTTCTCACACGCATTCTGATTGATTTGGAGCTCGCACAAGAGTACTAGTGGTTTAAACTGCGCATGATAGTATGTAACTTAGAGTAATCATATTCAGAATTACGACAACAATACCATAAGTACCTTGAAGACTAGATAATGCTCCGCGTCCTTGGTTAATGGCACCCTGGCCCATGCCTTGAAGTTGGCCTGCTAATCCCTGTGCCTTAATCAACAGACCATTTATAATTATTTGTTTGTAGCTGATATTACATGAAAAGAAGTTGAACGATCAAGAATATATATAAAATATTGTTTCTATAAATGATTTCCTTTTTAAATAAGATAATATTTTGAAGATCGCCGTTGTGGTATCCTCTTGACATCATTGTCATTTGAAAATTAAACAATATTGAATCAAATTTCGGGGGGGGAACACGTTTTTTATCCCCCCCCCCCCCCCGGCTCCGCGGTCCCATTGTTTAGGGATGGCTTTTGTTCTTTTATAAACAACCCACTTCCGATATATGCTTCCATTGTCACGCAAAAAGGTTCTAGTACGAGGCTACGTRCTAAATTGAATTTATTCTTTTCTCATTTCACGAAGCACTGAGCATTATGCACGAAGCCTCACATTGCACATTTCGGAGGCATAACACGAAAGGGGGTTCTTTGAATTGGCGTGGTTCTTCAAAATATAATCTGCCTTATAAAATGTAATTCCAAAACATTTTATATAAATATACAATTATAAAATATTTTTTGTTAAAAAAGCCTCTACCCAGGGTACTCCATCCTGTTGGCGTCTTCGGTGTAGTGAAGAGATTTAGTATACTGGGAGATGGATTAGGCAACATTTAGTGAGGGAACCCAAAAGTAGGACAAAGGCAACCCAGAAGTAGGAGACTACCTACCTGGCCTAAAGCACCTTGCCCTGCCTGTTTCACTTGATTTATTGCACCCATCCCTTGATTTCGCAGATTATTGAACTGACCCAATGCCTGTTGTTGGGCTTGATCTGTAATAAAAATAATATCAATCTTAAACATGAGTGCTTACTTATCGATAATAGTCCAGTTTCGAGTTCACTGTTGCTCAGGTTTCAATTTTGTGAAAATAATTAAAGGCCCGTGGAATTTCGCTTTTTGTATAGTTAAAGTTGTGCATTCTTTACTTTACGGTTCGTATTTGAGAATATTTTATACACAGAACTGGGCCTAACCCTGAGTAAATGAAGTATCGTACAAATAGGAAAATGGTCTATTAACCACTGACTCATTATTAAAGCATTTCCTAACAAGATCAATTCGGTAGTCATACACACTACATTGTTAATACCTTGAACAGACAATATGGGTACTTTTAAGGAACATAGTTAAAGAAAGGTTATAAATTTCAAAAGAAAGTCATTTCGACGTCAATATTGAATGACTAATTATAAGTATCTTCTCACAAGCAACTGTTAAACAAAGAAAAAATACTCTAGGGAACAGCACGTGATCTGTAATGGGAAAACATTGCATCACCACCAATAAGGTCTATTAACCACATCAGTGGCTGATGTCCTGTCTTGCATGTATAAAAGAATCTAAAACATACTTGCAGCATTTTTTGCTTGGTCAATGGCACCCATTCCTGCTTGTTTTGCTTGGTTGAATGCTCCCATTCCTGCTCCCTTAGCCTGGTCAACAGCTGACATACCCTTCTTCTGTAGTTGCCCTCCTACTGCCTGAGCCTGACCTATTGCTCCTTTGCCCATCGATTCGGCTTGTCCCGCCAAATCTTCACCCATATTCTTTGCTTTTTCGATCTGCGAAATTGAAGTTTACATATATAAATATTAGGTATCTGAATGTGTATGAATGTATACTACAACGTTTCTGCAATCGATTGTACTTTGACAATTATACGTTTATATTTGGATGCTATTTTTTGCTCTTCTGAAAAATAAGGAATAAACGAATAGCAAATAAACTTTAAGTTTGCTAAAAAGCCTCATTAGGTATTCAAAAACATTTCGTTAACAACTGATTTTGAAAAAATGTATTTAAGAAATCGAAGTGACTTTTTTAAAGTTTGTGCTTTTTTGAAATGGCGTCAGCATCCAAACTCTAGTGGGACCACGAGCAACACAAATCGAAACTGTTATTCTCTATGTTGGCTTTTTACAGTGTATTAATGCCGCATGACCATGGTTTTTGTATACTTCAAAATACGGTAGTTATTGATAGCCATATAATATAATAGTCACCTTACCTCTTTCACAACTTGGTCTTTTATTTTTACGAATTCTTTTTTCCCCTTTTCAAGCCATTCATTAGCTAGCCTTTGAGCTTCATCAATGTATTTTGCGATCAATGGGCGCATCTTTTCAACTAGTTTTCGGACCTAAGAAAATATATAGAAAATATATAGAAGACTCAAAGACCACGAATAAAGTCAAACAGTCCATTTAATTCATAACAACGAGTCATCTTTATCAGCGATTCAGTTTTACTTTGTTTTATTCAAATCGTCAAGAAAATAGCTCTGCACCTCCCATTTTGGAATAGAGTTTCGTAGTGATTTAAACACAGGTAGCCCCAACTCCAGCTCAAATAAAACCTCGATCAAAATAAACTCTGGTAAGGGGGAATCATTTTGATGAAAAACTACTGAGCTTTTTTTAATGTTCTTCAACGTTTTCTCTCCGACAATACCGCGGCGGGAAAAGCTTTTTATTCGCGTCACAAAAATCCCCGACTGTGCTGATACAAATAATCGTGCGTGCCTCCGTATTAACTTCAGCAACGACAACAAGACCTACAAGATGGTGGGGTTTTTTCCCACTCTTTACCAGTTGATTTTACTTGTAAAAAGAAATATAAGTGCAAACTTCTACATGGTTGGATTTATATTTTTCATTTCTTTTTCTTCGTAAAACATAGATAAACAAAATTTATTTGACGAAGCCTACCTTTGTCTTGTTCACTTTATCCAACAGTCCATTGATGTTTGAAGTGTCGTAGTTGGTCAAAGAACCCAGTTCACCTCCTACTTCACCAGCTATGCCTCCTACCATCCCTTGTATTTCTGATAGAATTGTCTCCTGGAAGATCTTAAACGCCTTCATGCCTGCTGCCTTTCCTTTCGAAAAGTAATCTTTAAGATATTTCAATAAAAGGAACAATTCATTATTTGTGTATGAGAATATATATGAAATATATATACATACTGATATACTGCGAGGAGCAGCACCATTTGATACATTTACTAATTGTAAGAATGTCGGGAGTGTCCAAGTGTCTAATCGGGAAATCTTGATTTTAGGATTCTCATTAGGATTTCATTTCATTTTCTTCCAATACTGTGTTCGAATGTCAAGTTTTCATTACTTACTCATTCCAATTTTATAGTATTTTCCTTTGATTTCTTCTTCAAAATAACGTTTAGCTTTTTCAATCATAGGTTGAAGCTAAAAGAACAACGTTAATATTAAGATAAAATATTAATTGCTATATCAAAATATCATATTGCATGAACCCTATGTGAATATGGCCACCATTGATTTTTACAAATTTGTGCCACAAAGTGCCACTCTTTAGTACTTAAAGTATTGATTCTACGTCGAATGAATAGTTTGAATAGTGAAATATTTCTTGAGTGCTGCTTTTTTACCAGCTGAGCGGTGAAAACGCTGCACAAGGCATGAGCGGACAAAATGAACAGCCCTAAGCATTATTGGAGCTCGAAAGAACGAAGCGAACGTGGCGGTAAAGTGAAATTGTTTTTATTCTTCCTTTCCATATTTGTGCTTCTCGTAGGCATAAGGCATAAGAAAACGGAAAAATAATCAAAAGTTGGGTCATAGTAGCCTGGTAATGAGGGCCGGCGTTAAAAAAAAACCAAAACAGCTAAACGCGCTGTAATTGGCTGAAACAAAATTCACCGCTCAACTGGTAAGTCATAAAGGTTCATAATCAGTCCAAAATAACTTTTGGTTTTATACAGCTTAGTGCAGGTTTCGATTGAACTAAACAAATGATATATTGAGGAACTTCTAAAACGGGAAACGACAAGGAAATTAAAGGTCATTCACTTACTTGCTGCCAATCCACAAACGTAAGTTTTCCTTCTTCAAAGGTAAAACTAAACGCGACTGTACATTTATATTTAATTTATAACGAACCATATTTATCATAGCTTTGTTATTAATTTATTAATTCCTTTAGAGACAATAGAATTTAGAGATGTGATTTAGTGCCGTTATTAACAACGCCAATTACTCAAGCGCAAAAACTAACCTTTTTATATAAGTTCATTGCCTGCAAAGAAATTAAGAAAAATGAGTCAGAATCTTGCATGTATTGATGTTTACTCAATATAGACTGATATTCATATTATGATAGGTTGTGCATTTCTTCCCAGATTGTATTTCGGTAAACTTCACTCACTCCCTCCAATCAACGTTTCTGAACGATCCACTCTACAATAAACACTAAAAAGAAATAGATCTCTTACTTTTAGGACTGCTAAAATGGAATATCATATCCTACATTATAGTTTCTATTAAACACGTAAATCCCGTAAAATGTGTAACTTGCATTGAAAATCCTTATATACTGTACTCTAAGTCCTTTTTTTAGGTTTACACTTCTTTATTAATAAGTTTTCAGAAAATTCTAATAGTAAACAAGGCTTTAAGGTGGCTGCCTACTGTAGTAAAAATCCATAAAAACGTTTTGAATCACGACTTTTCAAACCCAAATTTAATGTTGATTTCAAATCGGAAAAGAAAAAAGGTGTCCCGAATTCGCTTTGGACATATTATCGATTAAAAGACAAGTGTATCAACATCTTTTTACAGAAAAAGAAGTTTTAAAAAACTTCCTACGAAATAAAAATAAAACATCACTAGTAATCAAGTCTTTGACTTTACTTCTTCAGGAATTCTTGAAGGCCTTAGGTGGTTTTTTAATGGTTTTTGTGCGCGCCACATCGTGGGCTCAGATAATGGATTCATCGTCTTTGCGTAGGAAAGTGCACAGCAGCTTCATTTTTCTACAGTATGCAGCCGCCATAACGTGGTCTTGACACCTTAACGTGGTCTTGACACCTTAACGTGGTCTTGACACCTTAACGTGGTCTTAAGTTTAAGTATAATCACATGAACATTGTTGCCAGTTTCCAGTTACCTTTTTAACTTAAGCATGATGAATGTAGAGCTACCCTGTAGATATGTCATCATTAAACCTTTATTATTATTATTATCATTATTATTATTATCATCATTACCTTTTTCATAAGATCATCCTTTGTTTTATCACCACTAAGGTCTTTAACCATTCCCATTCCCTGATTTTGCAAGCCACTAGCCACATTCATTCCTTGTCCTTGTACGTTGTTCAACATGCCCATTCCTTAAAAAGTGATATTTAGCTTCAAATAGAACAAAAAAGTTAAAAGGTTTAATTTTTAATAATATTTTACCTTGTCCTTGCATCTTATTAAACATGCCCATTCCTTGTCCTTGTAGGTTGTTCACCATACCCATTCCTTGTCCTTGTAGCTTGTTCGCCATACCCATTCCTTGTCCTTGTAGTTTGTTCACCATACCCATTCCCTGTCCCTGAAGTTGACTAGCCATACCCATTCCTTGTCCTTGTAGCTTGTTGACCATGCCCATTCCTTGTCCTTGTAGTTTGTTGACCATACCCATTCCTTGTCCTTGTAGCTTGTTAACCATACCCATTCCTTGTCCTTGTAGCTTGTTCACCATACCCATTCCTTGTCCTTGTAGTTTGTT